GTGATACAGCCTCTCTAAATCCTTTGAAACGTGATGCAAAATCAAGGCTCTAGTCCTATTAACCCCTTGTTCTTTCTCCCACTCCCTTTTTAAGACTTTAAACTCATGTTTAACCCCCGCTCACAGTTTTAACTCATACTCCAGATAATGTTTTATGTGGCATTTACCACTGCAATGAATTTCCCAGATCTTAGGACATGGACAAGAGGTAGGGACTTGAGAGATGAAATCACATGACAGGTAACGGGCATGGTGAACTTTAGATCTGTGAGATGTGTGTAATGTTAGCTCATTCTGTAGCTGAATGTGAACGCTATTGATATTTAATATCTTACCAGGAGGGATGAGTATTTGAAGGACAAGCATTCGTAATTTGCTTTGACATTTGACATGATCAAGCAAGTAAAGGAATAATATTTCGTTTCTCCATTGTCAAAAAGATAATGAGTTTCATAACTATTGGTATTATGGGAAAAATACAGCCTGTGTAGTGTAAAATGTGAGAGAGCTGTTATATATTCTTCTATAAATTGTGTATATCGCATTCTTTTGATGGCCCTATTCAAACACAGCATGCCTATCCTTTTTAATTTTCTGGTTTGCTGTGCAAGTCTCGAGCAAAAGAGACTTTTTTTTTTTTTAAATGAAAAAAATCTTTTCTTCAAATTATTTATAGAAAGAGCAGTGCTGTCATCGAGTCTGTCTCATCATATCATTCTTGGATATCAATTTCTAGGCTCAGATGACAAACCATAGCAGCTACTTTTCCAATAGCAGCATCTGGCTTCCTGGCAAACTCAAAATGCAGTTATCTGGAAAGCTTCAGAGTTGCTTCTGAGCACATTTTATTTATTAGAAAGCAGTTGTGTTGCTTTGCTTCCCATGACTAAGCCAAAGAATATTTAATATATTAAAAGGAATAATAGAATCGAGGCCAAGCTGTTGTCCCTCAAGTGGCAAGAGAATGACAATATTTTTCCTTTAAGACGACCATTTCTTCAGCTCTGAGGGACAATCTGAAGCTATTCATGCTGACTTCAGATGATCTTTTATCAGACTAAAAAAGAAATTCAGCCTTATAACTCCTCAAACAAAATTCAGGTTCACCTTTTTCTATACTCAACTCTCTGAAATGTGAAGGTGACTTCTCTGCCAGCCTTCTCTTGTTGGAGGAAGAAGACTCTCCACACAGAGCGGGGTCCTCAGAGGTGAAAGGCACTATGTCCTTGCAATATATGATGAATGCTCATAGAAGGAATGGATGGGTCAGTAGGCCAGGTACTGTACCAGCCCTCAGAAGAAGTGAATTCAGCCTTTGTTTTGACACAGAATTTATGAGCTTGGCAAGACATTTAGATCCAGCTCTGAAGTGGTCTCCTAAAGTAGTTCAGTAGGTATCACACTAATCTGCAAGATCTGATCCAAAGTATATGAAAATATAGTTCCATGAACAACTTGAATGTTACTCCTAAATATACTTGTGCATAACTGGTACCTTCTGCCACGTCCCGTGTTCTTGCAAGGTTCTCTGCTGGGGTTGGACACCCTTGCGCTTGTGAAGCTCTGCTGCTAATAAGGTGATTTGAATCAAATCCCACCACTGCCCTGTGTATAAGAGCAGATTATGTGACTGTACAAAATATATGAAACATTTATTCAGTTCTTCATACATAGCATAATCTGAAGGAAATTATTAAGGATTTTTTTTCCTAATATCAACATTGAATTAGATAGGAAAGATATCAAGATCCATAGGAGATGACAATAGTTGATTATTATATAGATGTCCTCATAGCTTTAGGACATTCCTAGATGCTAAAATTCATTCTCACATGCATAGAGCTAAAAGCTGAGAAAGGACAAGGGATGATGAAATATCTATTCCAGTCTTTGATAATGGTTAGACTGTATCTACATCAAAAGCTCTATTTAATTGATTATTTTCATTCTGAGAAAGAACTCTCTTGACTGTTTCTTGAGCAATTTCCAAAAGTTTCTTTCAGTGAAATTCTAGTGTTATTTTTCTAGATGATAGATTAAAAAAAAAAAAAAAAATCCCCCCCCCCCCCCCCCCCCCAAAACACCTAATCTATTAAAGTCAACGTTTTTGAAACTTAGCAGCAGAAGCATTAATGCTAAACGGTAACATTTTGCAGTTTTCTTCTGATACCAGTGGTGTCTCTGGGGCAGGATTTTGTTAGTGACAGCTCTCACTGAATTCAGTTAAAGCCGAAGTTTCATCTCCAAAGTAACTGTTATTCAGTTCAGAAATAAAATGATCAGGCACGTAATTTCATTTAAAGCTCTGAACATCAACATCAAGGAATCAAACCAATTCTGTTTCAAGTTTCTGTTTCTCCAATGTAAAAAATATTTCTGGGTTTAGGCACTCGCCCTTGCACAGTGTCGTCTGGGGCGGGGGGCTGAATTACAGGGAGAAGCTGTGGGGCTTTCTCATTGTCATGAGCTTCTGTCTCTGGTCTGAGCTTGGAACAATTGGGTCTTAATTCTGATTGAGGACGGAGGATGCTACTGCAGTGCAAAACACCCTGCCAAGGCTGCTCTACTGCTACATTCAGTGGCAGTATTATAAGGCTGTATCATCAGCGAAGTCTGAAAATCAAAGGTTACATGATGGGCAACCTTTACTACATATAGTGGGTCAGATAGCTTTCGCATTTAAGAAAAGACTACATGCTTTTTTGCTATTGAAGAGCATAAGCACTTCTGCCTTCCTTCCGCCACGAATGGAGATTATTCAATGGTTGGATTTAATGAATTCAAAATCCTTAGAAAATCACTAGAGCCAGACATCAATGTAAAATACTCCACCAGCTTTCAGTAGTGGAATATAATATTAGCTCTCCCACAATCTACTTCATGCATTTCAAAAGAATAGAGAACATTTTTAAACTAAAGAAGATAGCTTGGGCAGAAAATGATTGTCTGCCTTGGATGCTTCTCTGTAACCCTTTAGGAGCCTGAGTTATTTCTCACAGGGCAGTAGAAACAGAAATAGATGTTTTCTTTGCAAAAATGCAGGGGGAAGAAGAGGAGCATGAGCTTTAATTAATAAATTCTGTTAATGTACTGTTACCTTGAACAAGCCATAGGGCTCCGTAGGAAGGTGGCCACAGGGCTGGTGGCTCTGAGCCCATGAAAATCCCTGCAGCTGCGCGTCCCCTTCCTGCTGGCGGAGGGTGCTCAGAGCCCACCAGACCCTGCACCATTCATCCCGTCCGTCCTCGCACACCTGGACTGGGAGCATTTGAGGAGGGTATTTCTGTGCTGAGTGGGAACCTGCCCTGGTTACAGCCCACCCAGCCCTTCCCCTGCTCCTTGCTGTGGAGAGCCGGCCATAAGCAGCTCTCTCAGGCAATACAGTAATACAAATAAATAATATTAATTAAGGCTCGATAGGTTTAAAAAGCTATGGAAATAGCTTCTCTCCTGCTGTTTCGGTATCTCATTTTCCCACTCTGTCCAAACCCCCAAAGCCCAAAGGTACAAACATATATTTTAAATGAGAAGTTTGTTGAACCTCATTAAACTTAAATGCTCGATCCAGTTTTTCTGAACGAGGCTTCACTCTGCTTTTGAGTTTACCTGACTTCATTCTTCCATCCCTAAAGGAGACATTCATTTAGAAGGTGATTTTGCAAAGACACTGATAGACCTACAAACTACAACTGAAAAGCAAAGCATGATTTACATGCTTCAGCCAAGCATCTAACTTTGGAGCTTATAAGCTTCACGTCTGAGCAATTTGCTGAGGTCTCTGTGAAATAAAAACCAGCTTTTAATTTGTATTTGCTTTTTGCTTTCCCAGTTTTTATGAAAAGTACAAGCAGCTGAAAAGCATCTCTGCGTTGGTATGCTGAGCGGTGGAGTCACACAAGCACCTGCAGCCATCCACGCACTGCTCGGGAAGAGCTCTGTATTTCTCGAGGTTTGTAGCTCTTGTCCTCCCACTCCCTAATTCATATACATAAAACTGGTGTGCTGCCACGTTCCCTCCACACAAATGCATTAGCTGATCAGGAAGGCTTCCCATTCATCTGGCTTGTCACTCGGATGAGGTGGAGGCAGATCGACTTGTCAACTCGCAGTGATGGGAGTCAGGGGTGGAAGGCGGGATAACATGATAAAAAATGATGTAGATATTTCTCCCCTTGGTTTTCCAAAAGGAAAATATTTTCAGGTGCTGGATTCTCTCCATCCCCTTCCAAACAAGGGGAAACCAGCAATGCAAATACTTGCCTACAACCCCCTTGCATAACTAATCGCAGAGTGAGGTTGCAGGAGGAAATCACGGCTAAAACCCCCCCGTTTGCTCTGCTGCAGCTCCCCGACAATGTGCCCCGTCTCCCCAGGATTGCGGCACTTCGTCCCCACCGTATTTGGCGCCATTTCTGCGGCGATGCCCCGGGCAGCCGGTGCCGCAGGCGGAAGGTGTGTGTAACCCACCCGCGACGTGGGGGCAGAGCTGGGCACCCATCAGGTGGGCAACGCCCTCCCGGCCTCCGGCCGAGCTCGGGCCACGCTCTGGCGTGTGCGTGGTGGCGGGCCGGACACGCACACGCTCACACCTTTATCCACCCCCCCCCCCCCCCCCCCCCCCGCCCTCCGTGAAGTTCCCACTTCGGCCGTGGCCCCGCTCTCCCGCCACCGGCAGCGCCCGCCGAGGCACAAACGAACCGGGAGATGCTCCGGGGCCGGGGGCTGCGGGCCGGCAGCACGTCGGGGGGCTCGGGCGGGTCTCTCCCCCCTCCTCCTCTCTCCCTGGGGGGGGGAGCGGGGGGGGTCCGCGGCCAGGCGGCCCCTCCCGGGGCGGGGCGGGGGCGCGGCTGGCGGCGGAGCCCGGCCCCGCGGTGGCGGCGAGCGGCTGCCTTCCCCCCCCACCCCCCACCCCCCTCCCCGGTTTTCCCTCCCGCCCCCCCCTCTTTCCCTCCCATCCACCCCCCCACCCCCCCCCCCCCCCACCGCCGCGCCCCCGCCGCCGCCTCCCCCCCCCGCCCCGTGACTCGGCTGCTCCCGCGGGCGGCGGCGGCGGCTGCCGGGCGGTGTCGTGCGGCCCCCCGCGCCCGTGCGGGGACTATGAAGCACCATGGTGTGGTGTGACCGTGGCGTCCAGATGCTGCTGACCACGGTGGGCGCTTTCGCCGCCTTCAGCCTCATGGCCATCGCCATCGGCACCGACTACTGGCTCTACTCCAGCGCCCACATCTGCAACGGCACCAACATCACGGCGGACGAGGCGCAGGGGCCGCCGCGGAGGGCGCGGGGCGATCTCACGCACTCGGGGCTCTGGAGGATCTGCTGCCTCGAAGGTACCGGGGGGGGCCGCGGCGCGGAGGGGAAGGGGGGGAAAACAACTTCCCGGGGGGACCGGCTGCGCGCCCGGAGCCGCCGAGCAGAGCCCAACCGGGGCCGGGGCCGGAGCTGCGCCGCTGCCTCGGACACGGCCGAGGAGGAGGATGGCGTTACCGTGGCAACCGGCATCTCCGAGATTGCCATGGGAACCGGGCGACGGGATGCGGAGCTCTGCCCGGGGGAGCTCTGCCCAGGGGGGTGACCTCGCTCCGCGACCCCCCCCCCCCCAACCCGCCCTCCCGCTCCCTCCCCCGGGCTTCAGGGCTTTGGGGGGAGCTTCTAGGGGTCTCGGGGCTTCTTGGCGCTTTGGGGCGCATCTGAGCCCTGCTGGCTTCAGGGTGGGGAACCCCTCGGGGCTTTGGCCTCGGGGGCTTTGGGGCTCAGCCACATCTCTCGGCAGGACAGGGGAAACCCAAGTTCCTCCCCCTCCACTCTCAGAGACACCGGGGACCTGGTTGAAGATGTTGTTGCTACTGTTCAAGTGCTTCAGTGCGGAGTCAGGGTTATTTAATACAGCCCAAGGGTCAGGCTGAATAATAATAACAAATAAATGATACGTGTTTTAGTGGCTGAGGTGGGTAGCAGGACACCTCGTTCCCCGCAGAGGCCAAACATGTGTCTCCTTCTCTGAAAATGGAGTTGTAGAGAAGACGCGGCGGGTAACTACCGGCACAAAGAAACACATGGGTGTTGGGAGGATTTGGCATGGCAGGTCGGAAAGCCCAGATGGGAAACAACATCTGTCAGCCGAGCGCGCAGAGCTCTGACCGTGGGAAAGCAGCACATCCCCAGGGAAGGGGCACACGCCGCGGGCAGGCGCGGGCCGTGGGGGCCCTGAACCCCCTCACCTGCTGGGTCCGTTCCCGCCGTGCGAACAGCTAACAGAGCCTCGGCGATGCCGGGTGAACGGGAGAGAGAGCAGGGGAAAGCTGTTGACTTTTGCTGAGCCGCTTTGTGGCTCGTGGGGGTGGGGGTACGCTGGAGTCTTTCTTCCCACCGTACTGCGCTTGGCAGATCGGCTGCAGTGCACCTAATTCCATCAGCACAACTTAGCACACATGAACTTCCCAGACCTGGTTTATTCGAACTGACAGACAGCTCAGCCCCGGCGAGCCCAGCTATAGTTCAGAGTCTAGCAGCTGTATTTGGAGGGTTTTTTCTCCCCAGGAAAGGCTGTGCCATGATAGAAGCACCTCATCCTCACGTCTGTTCTCATCTTCTCCTTTTCCTAACAATTTAAGGCTACAGTGTAACATCATTTTTCTCTTAAAATACCAGATTTTGCTACCCAGTAGTAGTATGCATACATAGAATAGCTGTAGAACAAGAAAATATTTTTAAACAATAGAGAGAGAAAGAATTACTGAAATATGAAGGTTTACAGGTTATAACAATGCTTGACTTTATGACTCCTAAAGGAAATCTAACTCTCGATATGGGCTTTTATGAGACCTGGAAAATGAGGGCTTGGCTCAGAGACCTCCTGCGTTTGCTTGAGAGATGCTGAGCATCCTCCACTTGAACCAAATCTTGTGATCTTCACTAAGCTTGTTCCAGTGTCTTCAAGCTTTGTTTTCCTTGGAAAATAAGTTTGTTTGCATCTTGCAGGAGTTGCTGAGCTTGCTCTGCTAGACTGGGCCTGTCATCTTCGGGAGAAATCCCTGAGTTTCCCGAAATATTTCTGTATGGTCTTCTAGGAATCTCATTCATAGAAATTAAGTGCAGCTTTGACTAAAACTGGTGGAATTTTTGCCTTGATTTCAACTGGGTTTAAGTGAGAACTTTTTTTTTTTTTTTTTTTTTTTTTTTTAAAAAAAAAAAATCATCAGTGAGGTCATGAGAAATGGGCAGCATTGCAAACAGTGCCCAGTAATGCTGGCTGATCTGCGGTCTCATTGCATCACTGGGGCAGCGCCTGTGCCTTCCTGAGCACGTTTTATTTGCAAGGGTATTTGCTGAAAAATTGCACCGATCAGTTGTGTGCAAGTGGACCTTGAATCCTCATCAATTCGGGGGACAAAAAAGTATTTCATGGGACCAATCTGTCCAACGGCAGTTGAGCTTTTCTGCTCAAAATTCAAATGCTCATAATCAAATTACAAAGTTACAAATTTTAAAGTTGTCAAATATGTGCTAAGAATGGACAATTTGAGAAAGCTGTCATCTGTTCACAGATATGAGGAACAGAGACTACATTATCTCCTACATTTTCAGTATGTTCTGTCTTTGTAAGATAAAATCTATAGATACATTAAAATATTCATGTTTTAAACCATATCATGGGACTTTGATTTCAACATGGAAGGGTTCCTTTGTTTCATAATATAATAAAACCATTTCCAGAAGCTGATTTAAAACAACACCCCCTCGATTGTTTCAGAGCATCACGCCTTCGGAGTGGATGGGTCTTTTAGTAAAAGCAACATAATAGTTGCAACTCTGAGGAGATGCACATCAAGAAAATAATTTCAGTTGTAGATTTTTATATGTGATTAAATGGTCGGGCTTCAAACCTATTTTTAGAATACTTTTTCTGCTTTGGAGTAATAATTATAAAAACCTACTTAATTTATTTTAATGGTCTTAAGCACTATTTCACTCTTATCTCAGACAAATCTAAGACGCAAATGTGCAAAAGCTGAAAATGCCTTAAACAGCCTCTCGAATAGTTTTTGACATGAATAAAGCATTTCACAGAGTAAATTTCAGGTCAATTGAAATTTTCCATTAAAATCTTTCTCGACAACCTGTATGCTGGATTTTGAACTGTAACTTCCTCAGCATCCCTAGTTCCAGGATTTCAGACAAAATTGTTGAAGCAGAATGGAAAAGGATAATCTTCTAATCAAATTATTAGGTGTTCCTCAATGTTTTCCTGTTTATCTTCTTTGAGACAACATTTTACAACAAATTAGCACTGTAATGGTAACTGGAGTGATACAGTTTAGGGATTCAGCATATTATCTTTGTTTGGAGGTGCAGTTGTCCTGGGGATGAAGTCATGTTTCAGTACTAGTAGTCGATACTACTATGGAGCTTAGTCACTCAAAAAGTAGCGTTAATGATACATCAATCAAACTCTTGCCTGTTTAATCCCAATTTTGTTCTTTTAGTGTGTTTGTCAAAGGTGGAGGTAGGAGGCTCATTGAGTGGATTTTAAATAATAGCAGTATTTAGGCATGGATTTTTAAAACTTATATCCAAGGTAATTGCTTTAGGTAGGAAACTGTTTAAAATAGTTCTTGGTATGAATGTGCATATAGCAGAAGTGGATGCGGTTCAGGTGAGCCTCTGCAGTAAAATGGCCCAGGGGCTCCCTGACAAAACTGGTTTTTGGTTTTCTGGGACCTCGGCATCCATGATAACTGCAGTTTTGACAGCTGAAGTTAAACTGTCACTGGTGTAAGAAGTTTCTGGTGAAGGCCCCAGGCAGCTGTCCACACCTGAAATCTTCACGCCAACCCACAAATTAACAATAAGAGCAAATCAGCCCCATTTCAAGTGGCTGTTCTTCTGTCCCATGTCCACAGTTGAGCTATGGTAGTTGTCGCAAGCTGTGAGTCCCTGTCAAGATGGTGCAGAGCAGAGTCTTGGAAACATAGCAAATGCTGTGTTTTATGAACAATCATTTTGTGCTCAAGCTAACCTGAGAGAGAAGAGATTAAACCACCATAATTTTCCAGCAGTCCCTATTCCTATGGTAAATACACAGCACAGCTGTGTAAGCCTTGCACAGTCTTACTTACAAGGAGGATCTGCTATTAAAATATTTGCCTAGGAAAAAAGAAATAAATTTTTAAAAACACCACTTTATCCACTGAAACTGCTTATCTTGGTGAACAATCATGCTTAAGTTAATAGGACAGCTTGCAATAGAGGGCTCTGCAGGCTCTGACATCAAGATATGAAATCAAGTAATGTACTTGTAATTTAAATTTATTCAAAGAGTATTTTATTAAACACTTCAGCATATGAATCTCTTTGAACCCATTGTGTCTACTGCTTTTAGTATTCCCTGTTTGTCGTTTACTTTTCAAGTGGTGCAGTTGGTTCTTTAATTCATGTGGAGCCATGTGTCCTTCCTGACAGGGTGGTTGGAACATTTATAATTGGGAGGAAGGATCGAGTAAATCATTTATGACTTGAAAACTTGCACAAATGCACATTTGCACAATTATTTGCGAGTCTTCTGGCTTGGATGAATGCGCACAAACATGGGAACTGCAGCACGCGCGTGCGCTGCTTCCATGGATACTCTTGAAAACAAAATAAAAATGCTTATACAAATGTTTGAGGCAAGCAAATAAAGGAAGGCTGCTATCCATCAATACTGTAAATTCATGGCTCATCCAAAAAGAATGAATATTCTTTAGTATTCTCAGAGCAGACCTATGAATCCCTAGAACCACCGCTATTTGTAATAAACTAAATACAATGCAGACTTTATATTCAAATGCTATTGCCAAAGTTTTATTTGTCGAAGAGCAAATGTTACATCACTTTGATATCAGACATGACCTGCCTTGGAGGTTATATCCACAAGCGCATTAAGAGGTGGTTTGTCTTCTCAGCCTTCACAGGCATGTGAGCCTAGATTCACACTATGAGAGGAGGTAGCTGCAAATGGAGAATACACAAATGGGTGTCTCTGCTATGAAAAATTTACTTTCTGTGTGCCATAGTCTATTTCTAGGACAATATATACATGTTTCATACATGTGTTAGAGGTCTTGAAGAGTGAACTTTCATCCATGAATCTTTCAAAACAAATGTAAACCCTTTAGAGGAGGAATTTTCTGAGATTCAGCCCATGTTTTCATTCTTTCCATACATCCTGCTCATACCATCTCCGTTTCCTTGGTAAAACATATGCTGTTGAGAAAGTGCCTGTGCTACACTTATTGTTTTTAAGAGCAATTCTTAGAGCTCCAACATCACCTTTGTAAGTGTTTGAAGC